GGCCTTCAAAATTCTCATACGCAGGCAACTGAAAGATATGGTCAAATCGAAATTTTGGATTCTCATACAAGTTAAAAAAGAACTTTGGCATTTTTCGGTCACTTTCAGGATTTAGGGAGTGATGTTAGGCTACTAAACAATGATCTGATTATACCTTATGGCGTCAGTGAGGTTTATTTGGATGTGCCTCCAAAAAAGGTTTTTTCATTCAGACTGGATTTGGGTTTTGATCTCACCTGGGTCTCATCAGCACTCGCATTGGTACTAGAAACCGGGAAATGCGCGTGGATACTCATAGTTATTGAGCATATTCACAGGGAAAATAAGTGATTCTATATATTGCGGTTACAAATTCATGTTTGCATCATCGACATGTTAATTGTCAAAGAATTTAGAAGAGGTTTGGCTTGTCTTCGAAGTTACAATTACACTGTAACATTGACACCTGTGTTAGCGTGCCAAACCTTTTTGAACCAAGAACTGGCCTAGAATCTGGTTGGGGAGACTGAGTATTTCGAGTTTCCTTCCCCATAAAGAACTGAAATATAGTCCATCACCTAAGCAGAAAAGCGTGTTTTATCGGAAGATAATAGTCAAAAATGGTTTAAAAGTGAAAAATTGTATTATCTGGAATATTTTAGCAAATACGAAGACACATGGGTTATTTAATTCGCGGTATAGTATGTCTCAAAACTTCAGTAAAATAGAAATGACATGAATATGGCATCGGTACTAAGGTTAACTTACACCAACAAGCAAAAACGATATTATCACAAATAATAATTTTTTGCCCTTTATTTCGAAAAAAAACTATATATTTCTGATAGATATTGCAGTTACAATATGAGTTTATGCTAAATGCCGCTTATAGTGAGCTGATATCGGCTTTTTAGAACTAGATGTAGTGATAGTATACATCATTGTGTTAAGTTGTATGTGAGACCAATTGTACTTTTACCAACTACCATTTTAATTGGACTTTTATTTTTCCATAAAATACAATCTACTTTAAGCGCCCTCACAATACTAATCCGAATTCAGCGGATGTGCTAGTCCAGAGGCCATGTAAGCCAGGCAATCCTGGCCTATCTTATCTTATTTGTCCAAATGGCATTTTTATAAATATACAATCTTGACCTCACCGTTTGACTCGATGGAGCACTGAAATGGGAGGCTTGCTTTTTTTCTTGAAAGTTATGATAGCCATTAAAATTAACATGACTGGAGCTTTCTGGTTAAGATATAATATCGAAACCGAAACTCAAATTCCTCTTGGTATACTGAAAAGGTTTAGTTGAGAATAAAGATGCAATCAAAGTTGAATAAAAAGATCCTTTTAAGACATTTAACACGATGAGTTTCAAGTCAAAATCAGGTTTTTCTTTAATTAATATTAGACAGAAGGGTTATCAGTCTATGCAACTCCATTCGAAAGCGCAATCTTTCCTTATGATTACAATACATAATATTTTTTTGGGACATATTCATGCCTCCCCACAAGCACAATGTTGTTTCAACTTTTAAACAGAGCAACTATTGCTCAAAACCAATTAGAGTTACTTTTTTAATTAAATACACTAAATTGGCAGACTTAGCCTCATTTGATGTAAATATTCTTCATTTATGCATAAAACAGTGGCCAACTTACTTGGAATTTGTCCATTAGAGTTGGCCAAATGCATGACAGGAGATGATCTCTTCTTGAACACTGGGCCTCTACCTCGTCAGACTTCCGCCTTCACTCTGCATTATCCACCCCTTCCCGGCTGGCCTCCAGATGCACAGCTGCGGATGCAGCATAATGCAACCGATCAAGACCCACAGAAACCCTATGCACGTTCATGCAGACAAGGAAATCTTTTGAGCCAGGATGAGCCTAACAAGCCTCTACAACCGCACCAACATGGCTTGATCAACGTAGGTTGTCTAAGAATTGTATTTAGCTTGTTAGGTTTTCTTCAAATGAAAACAACGAAGCAAGTATTGCTTTCAAATCTGACTGAATTCTAGGAATAAATTTATATTTACATAAATATATATATATATATATATATAATATTATATAATTGTATTTCGAGATCATCCTCTAGATTATAAGCAATAATAATTTAGTTGTAGCCTTCTAAGCAGAAGTTGGCAATTAATAACTTTGTAGAGCTTTAAAATCTATGCTGAGCGCCAATTTTAATAATATAATAATTAAGAGTTTTAAGTGAATATTGCTGTCGAAATTGTGTAGCTAATCAATAGTTACTTTTGTCTTACTTCGGCCAATTCTTTGGCAAAATGGAATAAGAGCATAGCAATCATTTTAAACCGCTACCAAGATTACATAACAAATTTAGTTTTATAGTAACCATTGCAATATGTTAGGTTTTTCTGAATATTTCACCTTTAAACAAAAAGTTTATTTTCACACGGTTATCGTCTTACGTAGTGCTGTAATCAGTCGAAAAGGTACCAATTTATATACCATTGTCTGCTAATATTTTTTACAATATTTTCGAGCATATTCTTAAATTTTAATTATATAATCTTATATATTAAAGCATTTATTTTGACATTTTGACATTTTCTAAGTGGAATCAGGATTATCAATTTCGAAATGATCTACCTAAGCATATTTATTATCTGAGTCAAGCCGAAAATGGTAGAAACCAGTGGCTAATTCGTACGATTGCAATCAATCATTTTGCAAACTCTGTATCACCGAGAGTGGTGAAAAATGTAACGCTTTTAGCAAAGGAAATGTTTCTATCTGTAAAGTTATGTCAGGCTTTATTTATTGGAAAATTTTGCGTCAGTTATTTTTTCAGCTTTTAGAAATCTGTCTTGTTTGAATTTTCCTGCAATTTGGCCAAAGAATTTAGGTGGTTTCACGATTATTACTTTGATATAGATTTTATTTTTATTTTTCATCATACAAAATCAAATTAAATTGTAATCCTAACTATATAAGATAAAATGCAATTTTAAAGCTAGTCCAAATGGTGACTTGTTTCAACCTTTCTTCCTTTCACTATTTTCCGGTATATACAGCCCAATCAGATTCGGTCCACAACTTCAGATTATTCGCACACCACCTTGCAGCGTTCTGCATTATCGGTGGCTTCACCTTCCTTCCTAGTTGAGAAGGACTGCTCTAATCGGTTCCAGTACCATCGTTCCAAACAGCAGCCTGGCCCAACTGATGTTCATATATCTTCTAGAATTGTATCCCCTCCATATGCATCATTCCTACAGACACAACTGCATAGTCTTAAAAACAATCAGCGTAGTAATAAAGAATTTAGTCCAGGTGTAGAATCAACTGATGATTCGGCCGACTATGAACAAATTTATTCTAAAACCTATCCTCTTGTTACTTCACGCCGGTTATACAGCTCTGACGGCATTGTTAGAAGACACCAACTCGTCGAAGTTAGAATGAACAAAGGGAAACAACCAAAACAATTGCGAAGGGCTAAAAATAAATATTCATATCAATCACAAGTCTCGATCGCCCCAATCGCTAGGACTTATGATATTCCTTTTCATACATCAAGTACTTTATCACTTGAAAAAGTAGGGCTTGGTTTTAAGCGTAGGCATTATTTCCATGCATCGGTTAAGCCCGATTTTAACCTGATCAGAAAGGCAATTTCCCCCTTAAAGCCTTTACTCATTGATCATTCAAACTTTGAGACTAATCGACATGTATCCATTCACAAGCCTCAATCATCAAGTAGCCATTTGCAGTATCAGCTAGAAGAGTTGAAACAATGGGAAACCTCCAACCCAGAGCTTGCCAATACTACATTCAGTATTCATCCCAATCCTCTTAAACCACACTATTCAAGATCAGGGTTTGAAATGCCTAAAGAATTGACCCTTTCAGTTAGAAAAAATCGTGGCACCTTCACTAATAAATCTTCCAACAGACAATCTATCAATTCTGACAAAGCAGTTCATTGTATAGATGTCTGCAAGAAGCATAAGTAAGTCAACTCTTTCTATAAATCTTTTCATGCTTACACTCAAAAAGTCACTTACTCTAGGATGTAGCAGTGACGCTGCACATAGTTGTTGTTGTGTGTAAATTAAACTTTTATCTATTTTTAGGAAAACGTTCTGTATTCGACTCAGGATACTATTTATAGATTGTAAAAGATGAATT